GGGTTTCACCATGTTGACCGGGATGGTCTCGATCTCTTGACCTTGTGATCCACCCGCCTCGGCCTCCCAAAGTGCTGGGATTACAGGCGTGAGCCACCGCGCCCGGCCTCCTTATTTTCTTATACTTTCCTACTTTTAAATTATGGACATGTATAATTTGGAAGAAAACATGTAATTCAAACAACTTTGGGTAATATATAAAAAAGCTTTGGGCTACTTAAGATTATACTTTCTTTTTTGAGACATACTCTCATTGCTGGAATGAGACTACCCAATAGCTGAGTTCAGCAAGACATTCACACAACTTCCTTTGTCCACATCCCTGTCTAGTCCCATCTGCTCACTGATCCATCCGTCCCTTCACCGACCCCCTACGCTACTCTTCGGCTAAGCCTGTGCAGGCTGTCAGAGTCTGCCCAGGAGGGCCTCCCAAGCTGGTGTGGGGAGAGAGAAGATAAATGGGCAATGATTACAGATGGCGGCACAATGAGAGGGAAGCTCAAACCCTGCGGCTCTTGGAGTGAACACCAAAATCCTAACCATGGCTGGAAGCCCCGTGAGACCCTGCCTGCCACTGTGGCCTCTTCTCATACCACCTTCCCCCACCACCTTGGATTCTCCCTGTTCCCCATGGGTATACCAGGGCCTCACACACGCTGGTGTCTCTACTTGGCACGTCGCCTTCTTCCCTCCCCCTAACCTTCAGGTTTAGCTCAAACTGACTCTCTTCTCAAGGGAGCCTCAGCATCTCCCCCAGCCCCTCCTGCCAGGTGTGCCTGTGCCTTCACAGCTTCTCTACCAGTCTGTAGGCTATACTGATGGGATTCTTTGGTTACTCGCTGGCACACCCATGACTGTAATCCTCATAAAGCTGGAAACTGCTATTTTTCTCACACCTCCCTCAGACTACTGTTTGGGATAGAGCTTCAGTCCCTGAACCCAGGAAGCTCAGTTGCAATAATAGAGAAGACTAATAATAAGCACACAGAAAGCTTGTATCAGTAATGAAAGAAACATACAGGGTGAAAGGGTGGCAGAAGTCGTCTTTCCATAGGCCATCAGGGATGGCCTCTTTGAGGAAGCAACATTAAAACTCAGACTAGAAGGCCACTGTGCAACAAACTGGCACAGCACGTGCAAAAATCCAGAAGAGGAAAAAGCATGTTGCCTTAAAGGAACAGAAAGAACTTTAGGTCAGCATCAGCCAGACCACGTGGGCCACGCAGACTTAGAAATCTGGTTCCTGTTTTAGAGCTACCTTATAAAGCCACTGGAGGAAATGCAGCGGGTGTGGGGGCTATCGTGGGAGTGTGAGGCACGATCTAATTTAAATGACCTTTAAAAATATTCTGGCACCTGGGTGGAGAACAGAAACGGGGCAAGAAGAAAAGAAGAGCAAGCAAGTAAGAAGGCCCATAAGAGCCCAGGTAAGAGCTCATGGGGGCTGGACTAAGAGTAGAGGCGAGAAGAGGATGGGCTCACCCAAGAGAAGCGTGAACCAAGACGGGCTCGCTCCGGGAGAGTGGGCATACCGAAGGGCGCCGCGTGGGTCCTCGGGCCCCGCGCGGGCCTCACAACCTGCCAAGCCTGGGACCAGGGGACGCCGGGGCTCACACCCAACCGTACGGCCGCTCCTGGCCGCCGCCAACCCCCCAAACACCTCCCGGCGATGCCTGACCGTCCCCAGTCTCGCGTCCCCAAACCCCTTACCTGCATAGCCGGGAGGGCTCGGGATTCGGTCCTCAGAGTCCTGCGCCGCGCGCTTCCTCCTGCGCGCCACCATCTTGCCGCCCGGGAGCGCGGGGGCCGCCGGGAGTTGTGGTTCCGCGCCGGCGCGAGCGCACTTCCATGCCGCCTGCCCCGCCCCCTGGCTCCAGGCCCGCCTCCCCGGCCCCGGCCACCAGGGCCCAATCTTCATCCGCGGAGTCAAAACAGCGCGCGCAAAGTAGGAGCGAATGTGGGCGTTGACCCCAGTCAGTCACGAGTGCGAACTCAACTTTCCACTCATGCATTCACACACTAAATAGGCAGTGTAAGAGAAATCCAGGAAGGCTCCTAGGTTTTCAGGCTGGAGCAACTAAGAGGATGACGTTGCCGACTGAGGCGAGAAGACCACAGGAGAGGCCAGCTTGGGGAAATCGAGTAGATCAGTTCTCTATGGGCCATATGGAGATGCCCATTAGGCCACCAGGGGGAGATGTCAGGTGGGTGGTTAGATAAGAGACTGAACATCACAGATGTCAGGCCTGGAGGAAGACACCCGGGACCGGCCATGGATAAAGTTTTCAGAGGGGCCAGGTGCGGTGGTTCATGTCTGTAATCCCAGCAATTTGGGAGGCCAAGAGGGGCAGATCACGAGGTCAGGAGTTCCAGACCAGCCTGGCCAACGTGGTGAAACCCCATCTCTAAGTACAAAAATTAGCCCAGCGTGGTAGCGCACGCCTGTAATTCCAGACACTGGGGAGGTTAAGGCAAGAGAATCGCTTGAACCCTGGAGGTGAAGACTGCAGTGAGCCGAGATTGCCCCACTGCACTCCAGCCTCCCTTTCAACCAGTGGCCCTCTGGGTCTGAGGCCTGGCTTAGGCCTAGAAACTGGGTGAGGGATTCCGATTTTTCCATCAGCAGCTGCCATTAGTAACAGAGCCCACTTGGAATCAGGACCCCACCTTCTAGAGGGGAATTTCATATAATCTGCATCCCTGGTGGAGAGCAGTGGCTCAGATCACTTGGGCCCAGGAGTTCAAGACCATCCTGGCATCATAGCAAGAACCTATTTTTTAAATAATAAATTGCACCCCAAATGTTGAAATCCCTAAAGATCAAAACCCTTGGCTGGGCATGCTGGCTCACGCCTGTAATTCCAACACTTAGGGAGGCTGAAGCAGGCAGACCACCGAGGTCAGAAGTTCAAGACCACTCTGGGTAACATGGTGAAACCCCATCTCTACGAAAATTAGCCAGGTGTAGTGACACTTGCCTGTAGTTCCAGCTAATCAGGAGGCTGAGGTGGGAAGATTGTCTGAGTTTGGGAGGAGGTTGCAGTGAGCTGAGACTGTGCCACTACACTCCAACCTGGGCAACAGATGAGACTCTGTCTCAAAAAAAGAAAAATCAAAAAGGCCGGGTATGGTGGCTCATGCCTGTAATCCCAGCACTTTGGGGGGCCAAGGCAGGCAGATCACCTGAGGTTGGGGGTTCAAGGCCAGCCTGAACCCACATGGAGAAACCCCATCTCTACTAAAAATACAAAAAATTAGGCAGGTGTGGTGGCACATGCCTGTAATCCCAGCTACTCGGGAGGCTGAGGCAGGAGAATCACTTGAACCCAGGAGGTGGAGGTTGTGGTGAACCGAGATCACGCCATTGAACTCCAGCCTGGTCAACAAGAGTGAAACTCCGTCTCAAAAAAGAAAAGAAAAAAGACAACTCAAAGGTAGGAATAACAAATGTTTATTCAGAAATGGATAAGTAATACATAATCACCCTTCATCCCTTAATGCCTCTTCCTCTCTTTTTGCACAAGAAACAGATGGGTAACGCAGGGGCATGGGAAGTGGAGATGGAGGAGGACACAGGACTGGCCCACCACCTTTTCTTCCCTGTCTCCCAAGGTGACAGCTTATACAGTGGAGGCGGCAAACAGGTCCCCTCAATGTACCAGATAATCACCTACAGCACCAGCTCCAGATGGCTGCAGCTGGGCTCAATGAAACTGTGACAACCAGAATGTATCAGCTTTGGGACTAGAGGGGAGGGTAAAGCCTCGTGGCAGGATATTTACCATCCCAACCCTAAGCAAAGTCCAAGCAGTGAGCCCCGTTCCCAGTACCTGAAAAGCCAGGTCCTACTGCCTTCTGGGTGCTCTCTTGGGCCAGAAAGGGTAAAGTGTAGGAGGAATGTCTTCCAGCTGTTAACAAGAAGTCAGTCTGCACCCACTTGAAGGGATTAAGAGAATAAAAAGCAGCATCTTTAAAGAACTGGAAGTGGAGCACCACCAGGCCCCTTCCTTGGCCTTTCCTGGCCTGGGGAACCTCAGAGCCTGAGGATTGTAGCTGGGTTCAAACCCTAGGTCCTTCCTGCCTGACAGACTGACCTCTGGAAAATGAATTTCTGGGTTTTTCTTCACTGGGCTAGCCTCAAGCAAGTCTTGGGCACTCTGTCTCCAGCATGCACCTTTCCCAGTACTTGCAACTGAATCTGCAGAGCTCCGAGAATCCTGCTTCCCTCCCGCTCTGCCAACCTGGATTCCCTTCAGTTCCAACCAGCAGGGGACCACTCAGTGACACCAGGGGCAACACTCTCCTGGTAATTTAGGGACAGCCCTTGGGCTCTATAGCTTTGTGCCCACTGCTGGCACCTATGCTGGGGAAACAGCTTGCCTAGTAGAGTTGTCTTGTTCCCTTGACTCCTCCTCCTGTGCCAAGGCAGAAAAATATCCCTCTGGTCATGGACGGATGGGTCACTCACAAAAGTGGGAATGCTGGGCGGCAGCTAGATATATGCCTCTGGGCATCCCTGACCACTGTCCTGTAGACAACTAAGGCTAGAAATGGAGAGCCAGGAGCAAACCAACCTCTCGCATTCAAATAAGCCCCAACCCCACCCTGACCCGGGGTTGCAGAATGGAAGGTGGAGCCTTTGAAAGGCCCAACCAGAGGAGAGCTGGCAGCTGCACCAAAACCAGGGTGTGACGAGTGCCAGGCTAGGTGAGAACCGAGAGGGCTCACAACACAACCCCCCTCCCAGCACTGACACCCAGAAGGGAAAAAGACCTGGGGTGGGGCATTCAGCACAACTCAAGGGCAAGGTGAACTCTGGAGAACGACCTCTGGGCAGCTGCAGTGTGGGCCTCCAAGCCAAGCACATTACTGGACAGACTCTTCGCGGTGGTGCAGCTTCATCCTGCCCTTGTCACTAGTGAGGCCTGGAGCTAATGTGGAGAGGACAAGAGGCCTGAGAACTGCTCCCCACCCAGGCATCTCCACTGACCAGGCAGAGGAGCGGCACAGCTCTCAGGCCGAACTGGTTCCCGTCAGGATGGCAGAGCTTTCCAACACGTGTTATTTGAAAAGCTTAACGTACACAAAGGAAAGGCAGCCCCGTGGCCCCTGGAAAAACCAGGGTCCTTCAGACAGCCCCTGCCCTGCATCCTATGGGGCCACAAGAAAGCCACCCAGAGAATTTAGTGTACCATTTCCAAATAAAAAATCCACTTCCGGCTGGGGCTGGGGGAGGCACGCTCTGAAAAACACAAGCCTACCTTGGCAATGAGATGGAGAAGAAACATACTACAGGAAATGTTAACAGAGAAGAGCACGGGGCAGAACACAACACAGAAATGCGGGTCCCATCCAGTGAGGAAGCGCTTTACCCCCGGCGACCCTGCCCACGCTCAGGGGTCTCCAGTCCGATGGCCCATTGGTCACAAGCTTTGCCTTGGGGAAACAGAGCCACCCTCCTCTGCCCCCACTTCTGGCTGCCTCACTCCCCTGCTCAAAGCTTGATTTTGAATTCTGTGGGCTGCGTGGTCACAGAGGCCCCTGAGGACTTGAAGAGCGCCTTCAGGATGGTGTCAGGGTCCACTTCGGCAGGGGGGTTGGAGGAGGAGGCAGAGTTCACCCTGCGAGGCAGCTCGCCCTCCTTTTTCACCGAGGGGCTGTCACTCAGCCGCCTGTGGAGAGCAGAGAAGGGGCAAAAGTTCTTGTCAGTTTTTCCTTAGATGGGGAGGGGACCCACCATTTACTGGGCATCTGTCATGGGTGAGGCACTGGGTGTAGCACTTTCCAGACCCCTTCATCTCATTCCATCTTGCAGCAACTCGATCACAGCTCAGAGCAGCCTTGATTTCCTGGGCTCAAGTGGTTCTCCTGCCTCAGCCTCCTGAGGAGCTAGGACTATAGGTGTGCACCACCATGTCTGCCAAATATTTTAAAATTATTTGTAGAGACCAGGTCTTGCCATGTGGCCCAGGGTGCGTTTTTCTTATTTAATGATGAGAAAATGGAGATGCAGGCAGTGCTATGTTCTAGGGTTTTGTGAGGGTTTTTTAGAGACAGTCTCACTGTCACCCAGGCTGAAGTGCAGTGGCATGATTGTGGCTCACTGCAGTCTTTATCTTCCAGGCTCAAGAGATCCTCCCACCTCAGCCCCGCCAAGTAACCAGGACTATAGGTGCATTCCACCACTCCTGGCTAATTGAGGTTTTACGTTTAGGAAACACTCACTGCGTGTTTCTCCTGGATGGTAACATACATTAGCATATCATTAAGATATCTCACAACCTGAGAAGCCCAAAAGTGAAACAGATTTAGCTCTGTTTAGCCCAGTGGTTCCCAAACTTGTTAGGTTATCAAACTTTAAGAAATATTTTTAGAATACAACTTACTCCTAGAACGCAGTTTAAGGAACTTATCCAAATCACACAATTCATTACCCAGGGTTCAAATCCTAGTCTTTGTAAATCTCAAACTCTATTTCAGGCCTGTCCACCCTATTCCACTCACCTTGCCAAGTCTAAGCTCTTCCCTTGTATCTACCTCCTTATCTAGAACATGATGTCCCCACAATCTCCACATTTTATGCATCTCAGGCTTCAAAAAAGCCCTCAGTCCTCGGCCAGACATGTATACTCAGCTGTGTGTAACAAAAGCCTTCAATGGCTTCCCATTGTACTTAAAGCCAAATCCAGCTGGGCGTGGCAGTGTAGTCTCAGCGCCTGTAGTCTCAGCTCCTCAGGCGGCTGAGGCGAGAGGGTTGCTTGGAGTTTGAGACCAGCCTGGGCAACACATTGAGATTCTCAAAATAACTTAAAAAAAAACCAACCCATTGGGGAACAAAATGAGAGGTGGCATCTGGTGGTGTCTCCATCAGAGCCAATCATGAGGTGGAGTCTGTGTTCCCGGATAATGCACACAGGCGGGAAACCCAAGCTGCCTCCCTCCATTCTCCGCTCAGATGTTTCTAAAGCAGAAGGCTGAGAACCAGATCATAATGCTAACCCCTGTAGGGTCAACCCCTGGGGAAATGACAAAGCAAACCATTTTGGTCAAGTTTAAGGATTTGAAACAACCAGCTGCCATTAG